GCGAAGAGCCCCTCCCCGCTCCCTCCCTCTTCTGCCCCCACCCCGCTGCGCTGCAGCGGCTCCAGCTGCGTCCCCGCCAGCCACCATGGACCCCGCATCCCAAACGCCTTCTCCCAGTGGCCGCTGTGCTGGCTCCTCCTTGCTGCCCCGGGGAGCCCCTCGCCCTGGGCCACCTCCAGCCCAGCTCATTGTGGTGACCAGGCTGTCATCCCTGGGATGTGCGGTGCCAGGACTGCCAGTCGCTGTGCTGGAGAGATGTGTGTCTGTGCATGCCTGTGTGTTTGCAGGAACATGTGTGCAAGGGGGTGCCAGAGTTTCATCCTGAAGACAACATCATCACTGGTGGCCCACGGGAGACCCTGTCAGTGCCACCTTTTACCCAAGAGCTGGGAGATCAGAGGGAGCAACCTCCAGAGCAAAGTGCTAGGCTTGGCCAGCAGCAGAGCAACCTTATCCTGGAGACAAAGGCACCAGCATCTGTGCCTTAAGAGCAGATCCCAGGGTGCCAGCAGCCTCTGCAAACCTGGACTGGACTCTTTATCAGGCCTGAGGATGGCCTGAGGAATTGCTTCCTGTCCTATGTGGGATGAAAGAACTTGGCCGTAGGGGCCTAGAGACAGCCCCATCACAGACAAACAAGCCCCAGCACTGCCCTTCCCTCCCACTCTCCGTCTTCTGACTGAGAAGTATTCCTAAGATGACCAGCTGTGCAGTACTTAACAAGGTGGCTGCATAAACTTGCCCTCAGTAGGGACCAGAGTAAATAAAGAGAGTTCTTTCCTGAAGTACTAGCCTGTCAGACAATTCAGAAGCTTCCTTCCTCAGCAAGGCTGAGGCTGGGACTGTATCTGCCCTCTTAGTGTAGTGGGCACCCCTCCCATCTGGGTGGCTTTGAGCTCAAGGGGTCCCTGAGGATGCAGCTAAGATGCAAACCCCTGGGGCTGCCCTTCCTGCCTTTTGCTGGCCCAACCCTGTACAGACCTGCTGCCTCCTCGCTGTCCTGTTCCTCTGGCACTGGGACAAGCAAGGGACAAGCTCAGCATGGCATTGGGGCAGATACCACAGAGCTGCCAGTACACACGAGTCGTTGGACATGTGTTGGTGACATCCATGCGCCCACATTCACCCGCAACCTGCCCAACTGCCAGGTGCCTGTGACTGGGAGGATGGAGACAGCTGGACCCCTGCAGACCTTGTAGGGCCCAGGGAACATCCACAAAACCTAGCAGCACCCAAAGGTGCAGAGAAACGGGGCTCCGATCCCCAGAGCTGGGCTGTCCAGAGGCCCTCACTGTACCCAAGAGGCACCAGGGGCACATCCTACTCCTCTGCACAGAGACCAGAGGGCAGCACCGGCCTTTGGGAGCTGGATTTTGGCCCTTTTTCCCCAAAAGGAATGGGAACCTTTCACCAAAACATGGCTTTATCCAAGAAACAAGGTCAAGCTGCAAAAGTGGTGTGGAAAAAAAACCTTTATGGAGGCCAAGAGCTCCCTGTGGGCTGTCAATTTTAGCGATCTGTGGCCCAGTGTGATTTAAGAGATTTGATGGCCATTTCAAAGGATTTGGGATCCACTCAGCAGTAAGACTCTTCCTCCTTCTGCCAGGTTCTGCCTTGGTCATGAAACCCTCCTGAAAGCTGCAGCAAAGGATACAGATGCACTCCCTTTGCAAAATGACCTTGTGTGGTTGCCCTGGGACCTGGGTCAGTCTTGTGCCTCAGTGAGATGATGAACAGGGGTAAAAGGAGGAAACAGATACTGAGACACGGTGTATCCTCTGCCTCTGAAGCAACACATCCAGGTCCTCATGCTCAGGGAAGTACCCCAAAAAAATCCTGCAACACTTTGCCACTCATGGACCTCCCCAAGCCACTGGCTTGGCTCTAACAGCCACACGTGTACCTGTGCTGGCTGGGACCAAGAAGGACGCCCAGCACAGAGCCCCTGGGAACACCACCGTTGGCTTTTCCTTATTCAGAAAGCACTGATGGAGACTGAAGGGACCGTCCTGGCCATGGGGACTCATCCAGGATGGAGGGAATGCAGGAGGGAAGCAGAGATGTGGTGCAGGGATGTGCCATGGCCCAGGCTCCCAGCAGCAGAAAAATCTGCACTGCTGAGACCTCCTGATCCCTACATGCATCTGATGATAGTGCACGAATGGACCTCAGCGTACTTCCACCTGGCCAGCATGGCTCCTGTTCCTCCCCTCTGCTGAAGCACCAGCAGGCTGAGACATGGCAACGGAGGTGCATTTGGGGGGAGACAGAGCATGGGAGGTCACAGCCCAGTGGAGACCCAGACCACAAAAGACAAGGTGCTGGTGGAAAAGGAGGCATGAGCTGGTGGAGATAGACTGGATGAGAGGGAGACCAGGAGCAG